CGAATGTTGGTTTATATAAATATTATATAAGGTTGCAATATTTAAGACATCAAACAATCTTAATGGTTTTTCACAGTGTATTATACAGATGATAACCTACTTATAATAGACAGATTGTTCCTTAAAGATGGCAGGAGACTTTTGATATTGATTGGCAACCTGCCCTTTAATTCATTCACAAATCATGCTTATCCCTCTATCTGAAGGATCTGTTTTTCTTAAAGATGGGAGTGCCAACTATTCTTACCATATGAAAATAAATATACGTAAAATATGACCAATGGTATAAAGGGAAGTGCTATATGTAGATCAAGCATGGTAATAATTAATGTTTTGTACTTGACTTGTATAACTAACAATTTCAAGCTTGACCAAAACCACTAAGATAAGAGTCTATATTTTATTTTCATACATCACACAAGTTCTTTCTCCATATGTAAATCATTAAATGTAGATACACTTAACTAACTAAATAAAACGTGTAGAAATTAAAGTATACAAGATCTATGTAGTTTATTTCAAAAACCTGCCTAATTTGAAATTATATATACCGTAAATGAAAATTTTCCAAAGTAACTATTACTAAAACAGTACTCAATAATACATGACCACTAAACATATGATAAACTTATTCAATGAATAGTTTCTAATATAATCAATAGGCTACATCATCAGGAAAATCTATTCAGAAGATTACTTTGATGGAAAATCTATTCAAAAGATCACTGCAACAGAAGAAACTATTCAGAATATCACTAAACAATTTATTATTTACAAATATTATGATAACTGCCATATACAAGCAAACTAATAAAGAATTCTTGTTGCTATAGAAAAATCAAATATTAATCTTACTCTTTGCTATCTATTATTTATCGTTATTTGCAGTTATTGTATGTTGTTTAAATAAATAATTGCTTAACAAGGTAAAGACACAATGTCGATCAAAAATCATAAAACGAATTTGTAAAACAAAACTGATCCTTGATTAAAAAGACCATCATTACTAGAATAAATATTTTAATCCAAAAACACATTGAGTCCCAATTTCAGAAAAGGATTTCATTTCGTAGTGATGGAGCATGAATCAAATTACTACATCTTTCAATTACCTTTTGTTACATGTACTGTAGACATTAAAACTATATAATCTACATGTTTCTAAATATACATAAACAAATACAGTGTTCTTCTGAAACAAGTGAAACATAAATCTTAAAAGTGTGCCTTAAGATTTTGGCAAATGAAATTCAAACTAAAAATAATCCTGGAAATAGAATAAATAAACATTTGTATTTTGTATGGAGTTGTTGTAAACCACACCTTGTAATCTAATTCAGTGTTAAGATGGAGGTCGATTCTGTTTAAAAGTTGAAGAAGTAGAGGAAATATCTTGGGGTGTTTTTATTTGCAACTTGGGTTGATGGATGATAAGTAAAAGATAAATGTATGTAAAGTCAGGATGAAAGGCACGTCACCTGCTAACAAACTCATCACTTTTCCTCTCTTCCATGCTACCAATTTCAATCTTATCGTTAAACTTGGTTCAGATGATGGAATATCAGATGGGTTAGTTACATCTCCCCAAACTCTTCATCAAATGTAATTATGGTAAAAAAAAATTTGCAATATTTACATTTTAAAGTAATCATTTGACTGAATAAACTGTATAACAACTGGTTTGACTGAAATAACATCTTAATTATTTATAAGACGAGATTTAAAGCAATGTTTTTATAGATCTAGTTTATATCTGACACTGCGTATAAAAGCTTATAGGATAGTTCCATTGCCATGAGTTCATCATCATGTACAGTTGCCAACAATACTTATTAAACTAACCTGAACACATAGTTATGTATGCTATAATTTGTCCCTTTTTAATTTTGAATTGCTCTTTGCTTTTAGAGAGCAGGAAGAGTCTCATAAAGTCAGAAAAGAGAGACAATTTTTCAGATTTTTTAACCTATACCGGTTGTTGGTACAATCCTGGTGTAGGCTGAGAGAGTACCTTGGGATTTTTCAATGTGGTTTCGCTTTGTCAGTCATGCCTCTCTTCATTAGCCCAGTTGGTACAGAAAAGTAAAACCCATTTCATTTCATTTTTAGCAGTTGGAGTAGACCTGAGATTAAGAAGAAAACTAGAAAGGTCTGTACATCTGCTAATTCCGTAACTAAAGGTTTCAATTTTTAACAAGCTGTAAGTTATGATGCCTGTTCTGTCTGAACTTTGACCGACTGTCTGTTTTTTTTCACAAAACTCTAATAATAAACACAAGTGTCTGGTTTACTAATAATTCTAAGATTAGTTTCAACACCACCTCTAAACTACCACAAGTCTGTAGCAAAAAAACAAATTGATCTCTAAAAAAAATTGCACTTTGAATGTTTTTATCATAATTTTACACCGGCCACACTTCTAGCATCTTTTATTTCAATAACATAAGAAATTATATGGCCTGAGAAGACAGTTTAACAAGATAAGAATCATTTTGTGTAATTTTTTTTTCTTCCATCATAAAAATAATGTTCATTTAACATCAGTTTTGGCTCTACATGTGATTAAATTTTTTAAATTTCACATAAATCTGTCTTTGTTGATTTTTATCTCTATGATGATTGGGTTCTTGTCAATAATTATATACAGTAAGTAAAGAAACAGTTAAATATACATTATGGAAGATTAGATAAAGAGCTGGCCGTTCTCACTATTATTATAGTTAAAAACTAGATAAAGTAAAGGGAATATTCTGAAAATTTCAGTCAAATTACTCCATTCTGAACCAATATATTAGCGTTTAAATTTAAGGCCTAGCCTCGATCCCCATTACTAAAGTTGATACGATAAAAAACATAGTTTTGATTATTCATTTTTGAATTAAATCAGCAACGAGCATTGAGCAACAAATCAGATTCCAGTCCAGTGAAAATCTGACACATAAGATGACATCGAGAGTTGATTACGGTCTTTAAATGTCTAATTAATACTTTATATAACATTTCAGGCCCAAAGAAAGACCTGCAATAGGCAGATTTAGCTCTTACATAATGTATGTTTAATATCGCTAAAGCAGAAACCAGAGTTTTGGAAATCAAAATCCTAGTCTGTTCCTCTTTAATGATATCTTAATTTCATTTTAATTACTTTACTTAAAGTTACAAAAATCACAGCTTCACATATCTGTGTACACAGGAAAATATATTAGTACACTGGTCATTGAGATGGCATTGAGATAACAGAATCAACAAGCCAAGAGTAAGGCTGATATCCCCCCCCCCCCACCACCAAAATGCCAAAATAAATAGATGACACATATTAAAGATACATTATGGGAGATTAGATAACAAGTTGGCAGTTCTCACTATAATAGTTAAAAACAAGATAATGTAAAGGCAATTTGCTGAAAATTTCATTCAAACTGATCCACTATGAACCGAGAATTAAGCGATTGAAATTTCCACCTAGCCTCGATCATCATTACTAAAGTCAGTACGATAAACAGCATAGTCTCGATTATCCATTTAATCATTAATTCTTGAAGGAAAGTTATGCAGTAAATCGGCTCATAATCCACTAAAGATCGCAGGCTAGCGATGCCATCGAGAGTTGATTATGGTCTGGATAAGTTAATTAATGTCTAATTAATAATTTAGATAACATTTCTGACCTAAAGAAAGACCTGCAATAGACAGATTTAGCTCTTGCATAATGTATGTTTAATTAATAGCACATTTATTTCTTTCAAAAGTATCAAGCAATCAAACTGATTATCAACTATTCACTAAGTTACGTCACTCTCTATCAGATAGAATCAAATTTATCTTGTCCCAAAGCATCGACCAATGAAATTGCTTAACTTTAGCTCGAAATGTTAATCATTAAACTCAGTCAAGACATTCACCTAATGAACATCTACATCAAGTTTAAACATTCTACTTCAATTGAGCAGAAAATTCTCACATTCGATCTTAGTCAAGGTAATTATATAATGAATCTATACTCGGCATTTCATTACTCTCACTTAATTAAACTACATCACTCTCACTTAATTAAAACTAAAGTTATTGTACCCCAAAGCATCAACCAATCAGATTGCTTATCTCTGCTTACCATAAGCAGACAATGTTTATCATCGAACTCCATCAAGGCATTCACCAAAGAACACCTACACCAAGTTTGAACATTCTACCTCAATTAGAAGGAGAGTTATTGTGTTCCAAAGTCTCGACCAATCAAATTGCTTATCGCTCCGCTTACCCTGAGCAGAAGATGATCATTATCGAACATAGTCAAGTTATTGATGTGATGAAACTATACACCAAGTGTCCTCACTCTCACTTAATTAGAACTAAAGTTATCGTGTCCCAAAGCATCAACCAATCAAATTGCTTATCTCTGCTTACCCTGAGCAGAAAATGCTCATTATCAAACTTAGTCAAGGTATTGATGTAATAAAACTATACACCAAGTTTTATCACTCTCACTTAATTAGAAAAAAAGTTATCGTGTCCCAAAGCATCAACCAATCAAATTGCTTATCTCTGCTTACCCTAAGCAGGAAATGCTCATCTTCAAACTCCATTAAGGCATTGACCTCACAAACACCTACACCAAGTTTGAACATTCTAGCTCAATTAGAAGGAGAGTTATTGTGTCCCAAAAAGTGTGACGGATGGATGGACAGACAGTCAGACAGACGGACGAACCCATTTTAATAGTCCCCTGCTTTCTTCGAAAGGTGGGGGACAATAAAAAAAATATAATGCAGAAGCAAAGATTTAAGTAAAAAATACAATTTTTACCTGAACTGTTAAGCTAGGGACCTACAATGTAGTGGTACTAAGAATACAATTTCTCACCTTTTCAAGATAATAAGAAAAGCTTTGAAACAGCTGAGAGAAATTGATCAGTACAATCGTAATTAATGTCATTCCTTCAAATAATCAAAAAATAATCAGGTAACTATAACTAGGTAAATAAACGTGCAATAAAAACGTACCTAACAATATTATCTTTACACCTGTTCCATCCAACCACGATCTGTAAATGGCTCTCTGATTACGACTCACATCAGACCAAAATAAATATCCATCATCTATATCAGCTGCTAATCCTACTATTTTACCATCTCTCTGAAAAACACAAATTATCAACACATGAAAGACACAATATCACTTATAAATCTGGAATCATTAGCCATAACATTGTGAGAACAAACAAGGCCATCATGATGAGCTTATAATTGGTTGATTTTGTGATGAAAACAATCCAGTGTTTATAAATGTATTTCTAAATTGATTTAATTAACAGTATACTGTATAATTGGGGCACAACCCCAGATCCATGACTATTTCTCAGGGAACAAGTTTTGATGATAAATTTGGTGGAAACGCATTAAAGGGTTTACAAGGAGTCGAAAATTTGCTCAATCATGTTGTCTTTGCACCAACATTATGGGACTGATCAATTTCATTCGAATAAATCTAAACAGCCACAATCTAAGTAATACTCATGCCAATATTTATCAAAATTATCCAATTACTTTCAAAAAAACTCTTATCTTTATCATCTTAGGGTGATCCTTACCCCATTTAGAGAAATTCATTCTGCCATTTTGGAAGATAACTTCTATTTGACCCTTAAATGTATTGGGACTTGAATGCCAATACCCTTTTAAAAGACTATGAACGCCCCAATTCTGAAGATGGCACTATTATTAGAAAAAAATCTATTCAGTGCAAGCCTGGAAATAACTTTAAATTGTGTGTCTGACACGATGTCAGGCTGGGTGAACATTCTACCTGACATTTAAAATTTTCGGACATAACGTTCTTAAATTTGGGTTGCCACAATCTCTATCAAGATCTATTCTGTTGACTAATATCTTTTGCCATAGTTTTCGTTTGTTCAACTAAACAGGTTTGAATTTGTCACAGATATAAAAATGTTACCCATTAAATTGCCTCGAATGTCATGATACTTGGGGTAGATACATGTCAGTCGGGAAATGCAGGGTGCTATTTTATCTCAGGAATCAAACACGAACCCCATGTTTAAGGAATGAATAATTGGGTCACGCATCCTGTGGATTTAAAATACACACCACCCATTGAGAACTTTAATAACTATTTGTTGTATGATTAAATAAAGTATGATCAAGACTTTTAGTTATTAACTGTTCATTACAATATAAATCCTTATATTTCATCGGCACCTATCAGTTGAAAATATAGCTTCCCGTCTTTGACAATGTTGACCTACTCACGCGACAATTTCCAGCCTTTTCTATAAAGGGTTGAAAATACGATCTTCTTTTGTGAACTTATTAGTTTGTTTACTGTATTTAGATTATCTGTTAATAAATGTTGAAAACGATACAAATCTTGACCAATCTCCCATTTTATTTTGACCTCGCAAATCTTAAAATATAAATCCCTTTATAAACTGTAGTGGCTACGCAATCTATGTACATGTTACCGTGAAAACATCCAGAGATTACTATGCCGTAAATATATTACATCGGAATAATAATATCACATGGAACTTCTGGGGTACGGATAATTATTTTACTGTAATTTACGAACATAAATATACAGGAATACGTTTCATTAAAATTTGTAATAAAAGGTTCTATGCTAAAAAATACATTGTAAACTGCGTCATAATATAAGTGATTTAAGATACCATAAGTTCCTTATGCATATATATGACAATCCTCGATGTGACTGTGATCTCGGCCTTGAAACCACTAATCACTTTTTGCTCTACTGTCCAAACTACACACTCCAGTGAAATAATACCATTCATTTATTACCAATGTATTTTAGAAATATCACTTGCCTACTCTATGGTAATGGCGAATTATCTCCAGACGTCAACAACGATATTTTTAAAAGTGTTTACAAATATATTAAAGATACGAAACGTTTTACTACATAAAATATAACCTTGCAGGGGTGAGGAATTTATTCTATTCTATTCTATTCAAAATTATTTATCTGCTTGTTTGTACCATAACTAAAATAATGTAATAAGTTTTTGTCTGTATCATAAATAATTCGACATTGTACATATATTATACACCCAAAACAGAAGGAAGCAATTTAATATAAGCCTACTTGGCTTGTTTTTGTATCCTATTATTCATGCTTTTTACATAATATAATATTCTCAAAATAAATGCTGTTTAAACCAAATACATACAACCTAATTACACCATTCGATTGATGACTGCTTAATGTATATTGGCATTGGATTTATTGAGAAAATATCAAATCTCTGAAGCGTGACATTGTATAAATTCCACAACAATGCATGTTTAATCTCGCAAGATTCCCTTGAATATATGTGACTAAAATCGGTTAATTTTAGTATTCGGCACCAACGATAAATTTACTACGCCCATCTTTGAGACATTGTTGAACCTTCTGTCATGGGGTTGAACAACGATATCAAAAATATTTGATTGTGCAACGGGCATGGAATTTCAAGACTATGGCCATAGCTATAGAAGCAAGCCTGTGTGGTTGATTGACTAGACTGTGATATGTTTCAGATAAAAAAAGTAATATTATGGATTAATATACTTTTATGTGTATTTTCCGATTGTGGGTTGTAACATGCAAGTTATAGAATATACAGCTACATGTACGATAGCAAGTAAAGTTAGAAATTCACGAAAGGTAGCAGTCTACCGTACTTTCATTTTCCGAAAATTGCGAAAATCTGCCAATAAATTTTTCCTCGGTCAAAATGACAGACCATTTGGAAGCTTCACCTGACAAGTCGCAGAATTAGATAGGACTTTGTCCATGTCCGACCAGTAATTTCCAGGCATGATTCAGTGACTTGGAAACATACAATTTGTAGTGTGTACCGAACGTACATGTATACCACTAGATTGCGATAGTTTCAGGCAAAAAGTCAAAAGAGCTAACTATTAATTCTACATTATGCTGCATTATACAGACTCCAGAATCCACCATCATCTCTTAGGCATGGGAATTGTTTGTCTATACGATATATAACCTGATGCCCTGTCTCCCAGTGTTTGAACAACTTCTCAGTCGATAACTCCCAAAATAACAATACTTCTCCATCTGAGTGTGCAAATCCGACATATGACTCAAAATACTCAGACTCTTGACACATGTTTCCAAGTCATACAGTGGAATACATTATTATATAGTGCATTATAATGTATTATGATAGCTGTAATATATGAAGGATAAGATACATGGATGTATGGAACAACTTATGGAAGTTACTATTACATGTATAGGTTGGTCTGTAGACGCGGAATGCTCAATTTTTGTATTCTATCTCCATTCTCATTAGTCGTATCAGGTAGGAAAGGTCAGTCTGTAGACGATAAAATGCTTAATTTTTGTATTCTATCTCTATTCCCATTAGTCGTATCAGCTAGGAAATAGCATATTTATGTTCCCCATCCCCCATTGAATGTTGGCCACCATATTGGATCAACCGTTTGTGGGATGCATTGGAAACTATCACAAATGAGTCCGGCGACCTACAAAAATGACATTTTACCTTGGTCATGGGAAACCTTCAGAGTATTTTAATGGAAAATGTTTAAGTGTAAATCTCCACTTCTCCTGGTGATGAATTTCACCAACTACATGCATATCTTTAATAAGTATTTTTACTACAATCTGTATTAAAATTAAATCTATTTTTAGTTTTACACTACAGGGCCTGTAATGAAAAAGATAGTAAGAACAGTATAACTTTCATACTGATAGCAGTAGGTTTCTTCATCATGGCCCAAAGCCCTTTAATTACGTATCTGAAATGATGTCCATCCTAATGTTAATTTACTGGACAAATTGATACTGACTAAGATTATTGTAAAATAATTCTAACAATAACAATAATATTATATAATTCAATGCCATGTCCATAGCTATTCGGAATCCTTTTTCAATGAACAATGGTCTACGGTACTTGACCATATACATCATGTCATGCACTAACTCAGGGCTTTACATGGAATACCAAATTTGATTTCGTTAAAGTCCTTATGTAAAACTTAAAATGAGAGAAACTCTATTCCTTTCTATTCCATTACATTTTGTTTCATATAAACTTGAGAAAATAGATTGGTTTTAAGAAGTCTTAAAAGATTAAAGAGATTAAAAGTTGTACATATAAATGATGTCATATCAGTTTCTAGCATGAACATGGAGGAGAAAAAGAACACAAGTAATCATTCAATCTGTACCCTACTGTGCAAGATAAAAAAAGAGTTAAGGTCAAAGCAGAAGATTTGGATTCCCAGCAGACAGACAGAGATTGGAATCACTATAAAGACACCAGGAAGCCTAATCCTTAAACACTGATTCACTGAGTTTATTATGACAGCTGGTCTTTGACTTCAAGATTCCAAGACTTTAATAATAGAATTTCCAGCACTGGTTTCCTGCCAATACAAGCCATCAGCAGTTTACCTTCATAATAAAATGACAAAGCTGCAAAAATAATAGACATTTTTAATTGTTTGATAATTATTTAATATAAAAGAGGAGTAGTATTGACAATGTTAAATTAGGAAAAAGGAGATAGTAAAATTGATTGTTAATCTCATTAACATGTACATTAACTAATGATTATTAAAGGGGCATTAGTGCTATGGATAATTCGAGATTTGTCTAGATTTGATTGTGTGCAAATTAAATAGAATGAAGCAGATCTTCTACCCATAAGTTGAACACATTAAAGCCCATACAGATTTCTGGGTTTCAGTATTACATACTTTTACAAACTTTGCGTACAGAGAGCTACCATTTTATCGGGCAGTCTGTTTCGATTTTCCCCCTCATTATGGTAAAATAGTGATATATTTAAATGTTCTTTTAAAATCAGATAAAAAATTGTGACCTCTAGAGAATCCACAAACTAAAAAGCATGATTTTTCATACAATCAGGGGCCATAATCTAGGAAGTTACGGTCTGATATGCGCAAATAGCGAAAGGAACCAAGATCTTTGGGACATAAACATATATTTTAAGTTTCATCAAAATCGGATAACCATTGTGACTTCTAGACATGACATACATTTACACTATTAACATACATGTACAAGGAGCCGCTATTTTGTCAGGCAGTTTAGCC